GCGGTTGGCGCAGGATAGAGCAGGGTTTAGAGCTGTTGTGCATAGGGTCGCTATGAGTCGGAAACGACTCGATGGCACATAACAACATAACAACAGTACAGACAAAAATGCAGAATCAGGAGAGGATAACATCTTGAATGAAAGCCCTTTTCAAGAGGGTGAAAATAAAACCTACTCACTGAGAAAAAAACATTGGTTAATACCATCTCAGACAAGGGTCTCAAAAAAAGTTTTACAGAGTACTACAGGGCCTCCATGAGAAAAAGAGTAATAATCCAATTAAAAAATGGGCAAAAGACACAGAAACACTTCTCAGCAAAAGACATCTGGATGACCAACAGACACATGAAGAAATGCTCAAAATCACTGGCAATAAGAAAGATGCAAATCAAAACCACAAAGGGATACCATTTCATCTTGGTAGCAGTGGCAAATTTTAACAGGACAGCAAGCAATAAATATTGGAGAGAATGTAGAGAGACTGAAACTCTCACACACTGTTGGTGGGACTGTAAAACAGTACAACTACTCTGGAAGGCACTTTGGCACGTCCTTAAAAAGCTCAACATAGAAATCCCCTATGATCCAGTTATTTCACTGCTTGGAATATACCTTGAGGAAACTGGAACCAAGACACAAACAGAGATTTGTACACTAATGTTCATAGCACTGTTATTCACAACAGCAAGAAAACAGAAACAAACCAAATATCCATCAACAAATGAATGGATTGAGAAATTGTGGTACATTTATACATTGGAATACTGTGCAGCACTCAAGAGCAACAATTTCTGAAAATACTTTTTAATATGGGAAAGCCTTGAAAGCAATATGTTGAGTGAGCTGATTCAGTCTTATATAATAAAGACAAATACTGCCTAAGACCATTATTGTAAAAATAGAAGGAAGACTAGAAGGAGGTGTGTACACAAGTCGAAAAGGGAGAGGGCAGGGGGGCTGAGAATAGAGAGGGTAATAAATCATGTGGTTGCAGAGTTTGGAGGATGAAGGGGGGGGTGAAGGAATTGGGAAAACATCCACGGGGGACCTGAAAAGATGGGATAACAGTGGGCCTCAGTGGTGATTAATTTTATATAACACAACATATTGGAATGATCTTATGAAACACAATGTGAATGAAGGAATATGTGAAACACAATGCATATGAATGAAACATAATATACACAAATTTTGTATTCAAATCAATATAAAATGAAAATAAAACTATTCAAGAGGCTGTCAGTGAAAAGTAATTCTAAGAACTCCTTAACCAGATGGACTGACATAGTGACTGCAGCAATGAACAGGAGTGTGTCAGAAATGGTCAGGGTGGCACAGGATAGGGCAGGGTTCAGACGTGGTGGTCATAGGCTCGCGATCCGTTATATTCAACGCGACAGCAACTAACAACAGCAGCAGAAGCACTTTTCATTAATATCAACATGTTTCACCACTTCTGAAGCTACTTCTCAGACACTGATTTGTGCAGCAGCTTACCTCTTTCAGTTATGTTGAGTAAAACTGTTGATTCTGATTGGCCCAAAGGATTGCGAGCATGCAAAGTAAAATTGTATATTTCCTGACTTGGAATAATTTGAAAGAACAACTGATAGCTTCCATTTTGGGGATCTTCAGCTCTTTTAAATGTAGCATTTTTTCCTGAAAAACTGATTTCAAAGAGTAATAAATGTCAACAGATGTTCAAAATGGCATGAGATTTGTGACAGGAAAACAACCCCTACAAACACCCCCTGGATTTGCAAATTTCAAATAATTAATCTTCTTTAAAAGTTTCTATGCTAATTATAAATCTATTACTTACTCAAAGAACGAGGTGTTGCAAATATGGGAAGTAAAAAAAATGATCCACTAGCCAGAAAAAGTCTCTATTTTTAAATTTATGTTTTCTTTCCAAGTTTTGTGTTGGGTTTTGGTTTGTTTTTTTTTAAGGAAGCAAGACAATTGAGCCTGCCTATATCTAAACAGTTATGCAATTTTACACAGCATATAGGTTTGCTCCTAATGTAAAGAAAATAAAGCATTTCCTGACATCACTGAGCGTCTTTCTGATGTTTGCCTCACATTGCATTTTCACAGATTTCACAATTACCCTTACCTCTCTAATAACGTGTAACTTGTATCACGTGGACCCACCAATTTGGTCACTCTTCCTGGGCTCCAAGTGCATAGAATCTCCTTTAAATCATGTGTTTCACAACTTAGATTTTGAGGAATATCAGGTGGATCTAATGGGGAGGAAGGAAAAAAAATTATATGTATATTGATGCCTTTGAGCTGTGCTGGAGAAGAATATTGAGAATACCATGGACTGCTAGGAAAACAAAGAGATTCATCCTGGAAAGGGTTAAACTGGGTGGCTCCTTGGAGGCAAGGATTCTGAGGCTCCGTCTAACATACTTTGGACATGTTGTGAGGAGAGACCGGTCCTTGGAGAAGGACATCATGTTTGGGAGGGTGGAGGGATGGCACAGAAGGGGAAGGCCCTCTATGAGGTGGACTGATTCAGTGACTGGGATAATCGGGATGGGAGTGTCAGAGACAGTGCGATTGGCACAGGACAGAGCAGAGTTTAGGGCTGTGGTACATAGGGTCACTATGAGTCGCAAGCGACTCGACGGCACATAACAACAACAACAACATATATTTTCCATGAAAATGTAATGTTTTAAGACACTACTCACATTTTGCACAAATTCTTAAAAAGAAAACAATTAGCTGCTTAGATTTTACTGTTGAACAACCCAAGAATTGTCATTCTTTTTTTGGTCAGAGTTCATATTATATTAGAAATTATGGGTAAAATATGGTAAATAGTAACTTGCAGCCCATCTGAAGACTCCCCATTAACATCCTAAAGATATGGACTGTTATTTTTTCCTTTCAAGCCTATTTCAAAGTTGACCAAATACCTTAAATTTTTTTTCTGAAGAAGTTAATTTAAAAAGATGTAAAGTCTTAAAGTAGCATCATCAACCATATCTATACTTGGCCCTAGAAATAAATTCTGAACTATATTAAAAGATAATATCCTGCAAGTTTTTAAATTCTTACATAAATTCCAAGCACTATTATTTACAAAGAAGAACTATTGGCAAACTTCTATATTCTCGCATATTCAAATTCACTGCACGTCTTCAAAGTGATAAACATATGAGCTATATAGTTAGATACTACTTAATGTTGAAAATTATATTTTTATAAGCTAGGGAGCTCTGGTGGCCCAGTGGTAAGAAACTGCACTGCAATCCTAAAGACACATGGTTCGAAACCACCAGCTACTCCTTGGTAGAAGGATGGGCAATTTCTGTGCAATTTACTGCCTCTGAAAACCCACTGGTGGGTCAGCTACCATGGCACACAATAATACTTGAAAAAATTTAGAGACAATTAATTAAAATTAATTCCTAGCCATATTATGCACAGGGTATCAATTCACCACCTGCTGTCTGGGAGAAGGATGGACAAGACTCCCATGTGATTTACTACCTATGAAAACTCTTTGGAAGGTCAGCTATGAGTCAATTCTGACTCAACAGCATACAACAACAGCAATGTCATATTTGCCTAAACAATTTTCACTTAAAGACAGACAATGCCTCCATACTCTAATCACCTGTGTTTCCCCCTCCTCCTCTAAGATACATATATTTTAAAAGGCAAAGATGCATATATTATGCTACTAAAAGATTTTGGGTAAGACTATACGAAGGGCTTTAATTCAAGAAATTTAAAAGGTGCTCATTTAGCTAGAACGTTAGTTTAAATGAAATAGTTCCTAATTCAACAGTTTAGGATTAAAAATAAAATTATATGTCACTCTTGTTTGACGCAACAAAGCTGTTAACTAAGAATTTACACTAAAATGTTCCAAACCTTGCTACAAAGTCTATAAAGAACAGAAAAATAAAGAAGAAACAAAATCATTACCCAGAAAAAAAGGGCTTTTAAATGTACAAACATACTAAAAAAAATTCAAAAACTCTCTTTAATATTTAATACTTACATCCTGCAAAAAACACTGTTCCACACATGTTGGTGGTCTCTGTCACGAAAACCACATTTGTTCCACTACTATCAGAAGGTGAAATATCATGGATCTTGATTGCAATGTTTTCTCCCTCCAGATGGATGAGGGGATACGGCTTGTTGCCGACTAATGCCGACACGATTTTTTCTCGAGTCACACAACAAATTGTTATATCTGAACCAACAAGTAGTACTCTGTCTAGGGGAAGCGCCTTAGGCTGAGGTTCAGGTGACCCTAGGAAGAACACAAGGTATTACAACTACTTTGCAAGCCGTTCCCCAGAAAACAGTGTCCATAACAGATGTTTTGAAAGTTATTATAATCACAATAATAAAAAATAATAATAAAAACAGTTAAAAAAGGCAAATATATATTGTTAGGTGTTTGTAAGAGTGGTAGATAAGGTACATTCCCCCAAATGTGGGGGGTGGGGGGGGAATATCTTTAAACAGAAGGCTCACAAGAAATGTTCTTCGGTGGGGTCCAGTTACTCCACTCCTTGTGGCCAGAGAAGTGAGGATCATCAACATAGCATCTCATTCTCACAGAGTGAGTGGCACATTCCAGGGGTAGGTCTGAGGTCCAACTCCAGTGATGGACTGTGTCTTTACCATTCAGCGTTGTGTTGTGGGTCACCTAGAAGTGATCACAAACGTAAAGGCAGATCGCTCAACAGTGACAGGGTCTCCCTACCCTTAGGGTGAAAAAGCATAATTGATACAACAGGATACAATTACCAGATAGTTATAAAACTATTTTAGTTTTCTGTACACTTAACAGGAGAGTTAAAGTAGGTCTGACTCATTTACATTTACTTCTTCATATTTGGGCCCTAGTATACTATAAGAAGCTGATATTCTAAAATATCCAATACAGTACACAACAGAACACAGTGGTGCTTACATGATTTTCATTTCTCATGGAGAAAAAAATAACTGATAAGATGGACCGTTAACCAAAGGGAAGAGCATCAGAATGAGCTGTCAATAAGTCAGTTCTGATTCAAACAACAAACACCACACAACAAAGTGTGAACCCATTCAGCTGTGTACCATCCTCACAATCTATGTTCCAGCCCAGTGTGGCTGTCATGTCAGTTCAGCTTACTGAGGGTTTTCCTCCTTTCCATTTATCCTCTAATTTACTAAGTATGAGAGATATTATTCAAGAACTGCTCTCTCCTGATAGCATGTCCAAACTTCAATGTGAGAAGAATTCTTTCCATATGTACTTGTAAGAACACTGTGGCTCTACTTCTTCTAAGACAAGGCTGTTTGTTCTCCTGCCGCTCTGGAATGATTCCATAATTCTTCACCAAAGTTAAAACTTCAAGGGCAACAATTCTCCTTTTGTCTGTCTTACACACGGTCCAGCTTTCACATACATATGAGGTGACTAAACAGAGTATTGAACATACCATTGACTGTCAAGAAAACAAGCAGGTCTGTCCTGGAGAGGGTGAAACCAGTTTGCTACTCGGAGGCAAAGATTTTGAAGGTCTGTCTCACATACTTTGGGCATGCTGCCAGGAAGGACCACTCTTTGGAAAAGGACATCTTGAATGGAAAAGTACAGGCACAGAAGAATACTCAAGATGAGCTAACTGAACAGAATGACTGTGGCAATGGGGGCAGGTGTGAAAGACACAGTGAAATTGGCTCAGGACAGGGCCATTGTTCAGAGCTATTGTTCATAGGGTCGCCATGAATAGTAGTTGACTTACTGCCACATAACAACAACAAATTTTCTGTCACTTGAGCCGGATGCACTTTGGTCCTGAAAATCATGACATCTATTCTTCTGAACACTTTAAAAAGGTCTTTTGCAGCTGATTTGTCCAAAGCAATATGTCATCTCAATTTATAACTGCTGCTTCCATGGGTACTGTTTGTGAATCCAAGGAAACAGAACTCTCTAGATAACTTTAGTATTTTCTTCATTTATTGTGATTCAACAGCTTCGTCTGATATACTTTGGGCGTGTTGCAAGGAGGGATTGGTCCCTCGAGAGGGACATCATGCTTGGGAGGGACAGAGAAAGAGAGGGAGACCATTGATGAGATGGACTGATACAGTGACTAGGGTAATAAGGGCAGGTGTGTCAGAGACAGTAAAGTTGGCACAGGATAGAGCAGGTTTTAGGGTTGCTGTACAAAGGGTCACTATGAGTCACAAGTGACTCAACAGCACATAACAACACACATTGTGATAATTGCTTCTTGGTCCAGTTGTAAAGGTTGTTATTTTCTTTACTTTGAAGTATAATCCATATGCTATGCATCAGAGAGTTGGACAGTGAATAGGGTTGATAGAGGACTGATGCCTTTGAGCTGTGGTGCTGGAGAAGAGTGTTGAATATATCATGGACTGCTAGGAGAACAAACAGGTTTGTCCTGGAGAGGGAAAAGCCAGAGTATTCCCTGGAGTCAAGGATTCTGAAGCTTCATTTGACGTACTTTGGGCATGTTGCAAGGAGGGACTGGTCCTTGGAGAGGGACATCATGTTTGGCAGAGTGGAGGGACGGCGAACGAGAGGAAGACCTTTGATGAGATGGAGCAATTCTGTGACTGGAGCGGTAGGAATAAGTGCGTTTGAGATGGCTAGGTTGGCACAGGATAGAACAGCATTTAGAGCTCTTGTACGTGGGGTTGCTATGAGTCGCAAGCGACTGGATGGCACATAACAACAACAATATTGGAACCTCATCAGTAAGTGCTTGAAGCCCTCTTTGCTTTCAGCAAGCAAGGTTGTGTCATCTGCGTTATCACAAGGTTTTGATAAGTCTTCCTCCAATCTTGATGCTAAGTTTGTCTTCAGAGAGTCTAGATTCTCAAATTATTTGCAAAGTACCCAGACTGAATAAATATAAAGGATACAATCCTGCTGCCTATCTTTCCTGATTTTAATCTACGTACTATCTCCTTGTTCTGTTTGAACCACCACCTCTTGGTCTCTGCGTACAGGGTCTACATAAGCACAATGAAGTGTTCTTCCCAAGGTTATTCGTTAATTTATTATGATTCATGCAGCTGAACACTTGTGCATGGTCAATAAAACAAACACATTTGGTAAACAGTGGGTTAAAAAAAATTTTTTTAAAATTACTGTCGCAAACTCAATTTTTATACATTTTCTTTCTTAATACGAACCGTATAATAATATAAATACTGATTTCAACAGTGTGAAATGTGCTAGATTTCAAACTAATATAGAAGATAAACTGTAAGAGATCATGGACCTTAAAGGTAAAGATTGTATATCACAGAAATATCTTGCCTTTTCTCTTGTTAAATCCCTCTAAATAGCAGAAGATGTTTCTAAAGGCACAGATGCAAAAGGACAAAATACAGCATTGGAAGTTGGAAAACCAAAAGACAATAGTGGCCGACTTAGAAAACGTGGGGAACCTGAATCTTCAGTTTTCAAAGGGAAAGCCAGGAAACAACCTGCTTTTGTCATAAAAATGCCAATGGGGTCAGGAAGTGGCAACACCAGGAAGGACATGGTGAGGGTGTGGTTCAAAACAGGAAGATTAAATCTAGAAATTCCTTGAATATATTTAGACATCTAGATCCCCTGTGACACTTGATGCTATCCAGGGACCACCTTTCTTTAACTGGCAGAAGAAGGGAGATTTACTCTCTGGAAAGTAAAACATTATCTCTGGGTAGAATGATGACTCGACGGCAATCAACAACAACAATGATGTAAGGAAGAACTGAAAATGAGCACGATTATGGAAAACAGGAGAATGTTAACCCATGCATTTTGAAGGCTGACGTGGCATGCCTTTTTCTTGACTCAGCTCACAGGATACTTGTGGCCAAGCTCAAATTCATCATTTTAAGAGTCTGAACATGCTTTCCCAAGGTTAGATAAAGACAAAATATCTACAATAATAACAACAACAAAGGTTTGCAAGCCTAACCAACTTGTACTGAAATCTCTGTCAACAAGTTCCAATACATGTAAAGAGAAGTTGTGACTTTTTTAAAAAGTCCCATTTTTTAAAAAAAAGTATTTACAGCAACTAGGATCACCAAGATGAGAAAAAAAAATATTCAGTATGGAAGGAAAAAAAAAATACAAAGCAAAACCAGAAAGAAAACTAGTATTTATAAGCATATTCTAAGAAATAACAAATTACATTCCATGAAACAAAACCGGGCTACATTTAAATAGAAAAGGGGAGAGCATGCACACATAAGAGAGAGTACACAGACATTTTTTTCTTAATGAATTAAAAAATACACTAAAGAGAAATTCAACAGCAGGACTTCAAGATAAGAGTAAAGAAAAGGTTTTTCAGAAAATAACACATAAGACAGAAAGTAGAAACAGTAAGAAAATGAGATTACTTTAATGGGTGAAATTTCTAATGGACAAATGTGTTTATGAAAATGAGTCAAGGGAGCTCTGGTGGGCTAGTGGCAGAAAGCTGCCCCGCAAGCCCAAAGGCATGTGGTTTGAATCCACCAGATGCTCTGCTGGAGAAGAAGGTGCAATCTCCTCCTGTACCAGTCAGTACACAACAGCACAACAAGAAAAAAGAAAATGAGTAAAAACAGAGTATAGGAAATCAAAGAAATAACATTCCCCAGAAGGAGCAAGGCAGGAATTTCCAACTAAGAGACACCTTTCAGACACAAAAGAGCTGAAAGAGAATGGGGTTTGCCTTGAAAAGTTCTGGGGCACATGTAGGCATTCAAACCCTAGGGGTGGGAGGCCGACTTGAGGCTCCTGTACCACTGTGGCATCTGGTCCCAGCAGCTCTCAGCTGTTTACTGTAACTTGTACCATACAGACACACTATCAGTATCTACATAAACCCTCACGTTAAAGGGGCAGGATGTAAGTCGGATGGCTCTCAAAAAGATTCAGACAATACTGATAAAACCTCTACTATGTTTTTTATTCGGGAGGTGAGTTTTATAGCATAGAAAGGCTTGAGAATTGAAGCAGGAAACCAAAAAAGTATTGCTATATACTACTTGGCTAAGTTGTACAAAGTGTTTATAGAACTATGATACAAATAAGAAATACAGGGAGACCAAAAATTGAAATTATATTGAAAGAAGAGAAGACAAAACCCAAGAAAATGTGTGCTTCTATGTGCATGTGTGTGAGCTTAGAGGTGGGAGAGTGAGACGCTAAATTCTCACTTTTCTGGGAAGTTAATACTCCAAAACTACAAAAATAAAATCCAGACCAACATATCCATTGAAGAAATGGAAATAATTAACAAAAAAAGCTAAAAACAGCCATTTCTGCAGAGAAAAATGTGATATGGGATGGGGGCAGCCAGGGCCACAACAGCTCATAATCTGCAGGCCACCAGTGACTTCATGGTCTATGCAGCACACAGCCTGCTGGTCTGCACAAAGGGGGTCACGGGTGGAAACAGCCGGGCTTGAAATTATCTTTATTTATTTGCTTTAGAAATGAAACATGACTAGACAGTGGTCTAGAGTCTTAAGCTTTTACAAAATGACAGCATTATAATAATATGACTGACCATAAGCAATTCTGACTTAAAATTTTGATATTAATAAATTACAAATTAAAATGTCAAACTCCACCAGGGGGAGCACTGGTAGCCTATGTGCAAGGAGTTGTGCTGCCAACACAAAGGCACATGGTTCAAATACACGAGCTACTCCAACAGAGGAAGATAAGTAATCTCCTCTTTAAAGGCGATCCGCAGGCTCTGAAAACCCACTGGAAGGTCAGCTCTGAGTTGGTTCTGACCTGATGGGTCATTTTCTCTTATTAGTCTCTAAACCTTAGTTCTTTCTCCATTTTCCCTTACTGTTCTCTTCCTGACTGTATTTCCTCTTACAAAGACTGCCCTTTGATAATTATTATTATTCCTGAAAGCAGAGAATTGCTATCTTACCACTGTTGACTTGTTATGGGGTTTGTGGTAATGACTAAAATTGCCTTAGCGTACTTCCTCTATCTTTGATTTCTCTCAAACTTTAGAGTATTATTTTAGTATCTTAGTTAAAAAAATCAACTAATCTCCAGAGGAAATAATAACTAGTGTTTAACTGATTAATAAACATCACCTTTTGGATCCTACGGCAAGAATCACCACCACATTAAAACTAAGACAAAAGATGTTTTAAGAAGGGATTCTAAGCCAGCAAGTGGTTGTCCTAGAATGCAAAATGTTACATCATTTAAAAAAATGTTAAGCAACACAATTTTAAACACAGGCATCCTTCAGGGGCACTGTCAGTTAGGTTCCAAACCACTGCAATGAAGCAAATAGCACAATTAACTGAGTCACACAAATTTTTTGGTTTCCCAGTGTGTATCAAAGGTATGCTTACCCTACACTGTAGTCTACTAAGTATGTAAAAGCATTATGACAAGGTCTGAACTACTGTAAGAATTACCAAACGGGGCCACAGAGCTAGAAAGTAAATGCAAGCTATCGGAAAAATACCACCAGGTCTTGCTCAATGAACTGAGGTTTGCCACAAACCTTCAATCTGTAAAATATGCGCTATCTGAGAAGCTCAATAAAAAGCAGAGCACAAAAACGAGGTAGGTCTATGAGATGCAGTTTTAAGACAACAATGCCAACAGCTGCATCAAAGCTAACTACAAAACTTGACTCACAGACAAGAAATGCAGTGAGAATGTAAGAGAACCATTTAGGCTATAGAGTAAGGTGACCTTTAAACTAAGGGGCACGGTTTTATGTGGGTCTTGAAATACAAGTTCAATTTCTAGAAGGAAAAGAAAAGCATTTTAAATGAAGACCCAAATGAAGTCTTGGCCCAAACTGCCTGGTTTAAATCCTGGCTCCACTCAGTGGTATACCTGAGTCTTTACCTTTATCAGTAAAATGGGGGCGACCATGATGGTTATCTTCTTCACACGACTGTGAGGAGGATTAAAGGAATTACGTGAATGCCCAAGCTCCAACAACTGAAGCCTATTCACCTAAAGCCATACAAGGAGAGTCAAGAAAAGGGGGAAGGGACGGAATATGTGGTTGATTCCCTCCACGAACAACTGCCACCTTTGCCATGAGACCAGATGTGGCTACAGTTACTGAATCTACTGCTCAGAGATTCTACAGGGAATGGCCGTACAACTTGAAGAATGCAGTCACTGAACTGGACACAGAGAAATAACTGAATTCATGCATGTTTTGATGCAGGTTCTCACTAAAAAAAAGGTAATAAAAACATTTACTGTATAAAAGCATTTACAAAAGTGCAAGGAAGAGAGCAAGCAGTAGATATTTGCTAACCACAACTGCAATTACTCTGGAACTGTAATAAACAGTGGAAGCACAGTGTGGCTGGTGTGGGGGCAGCAGCATCTGACCTCTACTAACTCTACAAGGAAGAGTCCTCCCAGCTACAATATTAACAGCATAAAACCAGTTCCTATGAGGCCAGATACGCTTTCTAACTCCCTACGCCTTGCAACTCTCTGTATCATTTCTATTATCAACAGTCACTCCCAAGGCCCTACTATTGGACGTGCTAATTTATTGCAGTGGCCACACAGAACTCACAGACTACATCCACAATTACGGGATTTATTATGGGAGTGTTATTGTTGTTAAGTACAATTTTGTACTTGCCAACTTGGTGACTACTTGCCAACTTGTTGACAAGTCAAGTAAAAGTGTACTCTCCAAATCAAGTCATAGCAACCTTCTCAACTACAGATCTGAGCTCTGTTCTATCCTTTGCCAGACTCAATCATTTGAGTCCACTGCAGCAGTCAAACCATCTGATTGAGGGTCTTACCACCCCCTTTTGTTGACCTTCTGCTTTTCCAAGCATGATGTCCCTCTCCAAGGAACAGGTTCTCCTAGCAACATGCCTAAAGTATGTGAGACAAAGCATTTGTCTCCTAAGAGCACTCTGGCTGTTCTCTCTTCAAGAAATATGTTTGGTTTTTTTGGCAGTCCACGGGATATTCAGTAGTCTTCTTTAACACCACAGTTCAAAGGCGTCAATTCTTCCTCTGTCATACTTAATCATTGTCCAGCTCTCAGATGCACAACAAGTAACAGAAAAGACTACAGCCTGAATCAGGTGCACTTTAGTCCTCAGACCAACATCATTAGAGTCATGACAGGTTACATTTCAGGCTGAAAATTGTCAGGACACAATTTTTCAGTGAAGACATTTCTTAAGTTTACTCATGGCCCCTCTGACCTTCAGCCTTCCTGGGCTCAGCCTTGTGGCTCTGAGCCGGTGTTTCAAAGGTTGTGTTGTATTTTCAATTATGGTGCCAAACTGCTACCCTTTCAGAAGTAAGCCTAAGTGCAGGCCCTGGGTCTGACAACTCGAGTTCACTTCTGCCTCAAACCAGTCTCTGGTTCTCTGAGTCTCAAGCTTAGAGAAATAGACAAAATTCTCTACAATCATTATTGGTATCCATGTTAAGAAATTTAGCTTCGTATTTATAATTACTAAAGCCAAAAATGTTAAAAATGTTACAAAGTTATACAAATACCTCTATTTCATTTTGGTAAAAAAAAAAAAAAAAAGATACCCATCTAGAAAATGTTGGCAGAAAATACACATGTTCAAGGGGAAGAACCAGAGATTATCTATCCCTCTTTCTAATGCCATAACAAAAGCAATCACTGTTTTTTGCAAACTTACTAGCGTTATGATGTCCATCCTCTCCTTATGCAGAATTTTAAATTGCCAGACGACATTCGAGTGATGAGGAAAAAGAGACCCCTTGTCATTCCACTTTATGTGTATCGTAGACGTTGAAAAATCAGCAGACAAGTTCAAGATCTCTGGAGCATCTGGAATAAAGGCTAAAAAAAAGGAAATCAAGGATAAAACTTACTAAAATAAGTAATGCTATTATACCATAATTCCTTGTGTCATCTCATTTTAGACTTATTGCCTAATAAGAAAGAATACTTTCATTTTTTATTTTAAATAATCTTTTCATAAATAAAAAAACCATTTTCTTAATAAAAATAATGAAGAATTAAGAAGCCAATCTCTTTAACCAACTGCCGAACAAGAGAACACGCCTATGCTTGTTTATATCGGCAGCTCCTAACAATCACTAATCACATGCTGGTGGTTTTCAACCTGTACTGCAGTTTCTAATAGAAGCTGGATTCCCCATGACACTTTGGTGTCATCTTGCCTGAATTCTGGGATCCACAATAGGAAACAACAAAGAGAAGACAAGAGCTTCCTTAGTATCATCAGGTTGAGTCTAAGAAAACAACAAAATATGGAATGCTCGTCTTGGTAAGATTTTGCATTTGTCTTCTCTGTAGCCTTTACTCTTACCTCTCACTGTCAGAGCCCCTTAGGCTGGAGGCGCCACCACCTTGAGGACTGCCATGAGATATCACTAGCTATATGTATCAAGCTCATTTGCTGCAATTCACCTGAACGCAAATCACGGTGACTCGATGTGTCACAATCAAATTGTGCTCTATCGGGGTTTTGATGAGAGATTTTTTTGGAAGTAGATGGTCAGCCCTAATTTTCCCTGAGGCATCTGTAGGTGGACTCTCAGTAGCTGAACACAGCAAATATGTTAACCGTATGCACCCACCCAGGGCTCCTATAGAGTTACAGAGATGACTGAAAAGCAACCAAACCCACAGCTGCTGAGTCATTTCATTACAGGAGGAAACCACCCATCTTTATCCCATGAAGTGTGGTAGCAGATTTGAACCATCAACGTTCTGGTTAGCAGCAGAGCACATAAGGCACTATGTTACCAGGACGCTGAGTTAGGAAGATAGTGGGCTTTAGTGCAGAACTAGAGGGACAGATGAAGTGTTTTAGTGGAATACCACTGCTTAGCAGAGAACTGTAATAAGAGATGAGATGAGCAATTAGGCAGTGCAATCTGCTAGGTTACTAAAAGTAAAGATTGTAATGCCATAAATGAGAAAGAAAAGATCAAAATCTGATGACTATGGGGGGGGGGAAAGACTGGAACCTCTGACAGATTCGTGGGGGAGGGAGTAAGGGAACACCAACAACATAGCTGTTAAGTTTCCTACAAGTACTAAGAAAAGCAACAGGATCCAGGAGCTACTGTGAGGAGACAGAGACCAGCTGCGGATGGCTGAGTCAGGGAAGAAAAACAAAAGGAAGTCTACGGAACAAGAAATCAGAACTGGATAAAGATTCAAGAGGAACATACCCAATACATGTGAGAAACAGAAACACAAAGGCAGAAGGCAGCCACCGAGGGTTTTGATATCCTAGGTACCGGCCACCAGCCAAAAATCCTGACCGAGTGTGATACAGAAGCAGAAGGAAAGGCAGAAAAATCCAGGCTCACCAAGACCCAAAGAGACTGGTTGTCAGGCAGGCCAGATACAACAGAGTCCACAGCAAGGCTGAGAAAAGGCGCTCCCTTCGGTGTGCAGACTGTCAATATTTGAGGAAGAACTTTGCCGAGCAGTGGGCACTGAAGCCGCATTACAAAAGGGAAAGTTGAAAACTGTGCTCAAGGGCCTGGGCAGCTAACAGAAATAAACGAAGGGGCAAACTTTAAAAGTCAGCAGAAAGAGGTAAGGTATCCATATGAATCATTGAGTTTTTAAGGTGTGAGTAAGTAGTCCAAAATTCCGCGTTAGTGGAAAATGAAAGAGGGCCTTAGCCAGTGCAGGTGGATGGGCCGCGGGCTTTCTGGAATGCAAAGCAGAAAGACTTGGGACCCTTTGCACTTTTCCCCCTCAAAGTGCAGTAAGGTGTATGCAGAGACATGAACGCTCTGGTCTCATTTCCATCCTGATCCTTCTCCCATGAAGCTCAAAGTCCATTCACAGAACTGCAGGAGTGTGCATGACAGAACAGGACAGGACAGCTGAATCTCCTACACAGCAGAAACAGTGGAACCAGCCAATCTGACTTAACTTCAGAATTTAAAGAGCCATGTATCAACCAGACGTTATCCAAAACAATGGGTGGATAGTTACACAACTATGCAAGGACACTGGAGGATGCTTTGTTGAAGTCTTAAGAAGGAAGCTACTTTTTTTTACAAAAAATGAAAAGCACAGGCCAGGGAGGAGCAGGAGGCTGCATTAGTGCCAGGAGGGATAACTCACTTCACGGTGCCAGAGTGACTAGAAGGGAGTTAAGAGGCAGAAGGCAGCTCAGAGCAAGAAGGGTACAGAGTAGGTTCTAAGAATGAGGCTCTTCTGCCAAATGATTCCAGATGTCATGATTAAGATTAAAGATTATGAAACATGGGAGGATTTCACAAAGCAACACTCATCTATTAAAATGTTCTCCTCCTAAAAAAAGGGCATGTAATTTATATTATGTCTAAATACCATGGGCTACTGTTCAAAACCCATGTCGTATCTTAAAAAAGCAAGACAAGACAGTGATGCTGTTGTTATTGTTGTTATGTGCCACTAAATTAGAACTGGCCCACAGCTGACCCTCCAGTGGTTTTTCAGGGGCAGTAAATCACGTGGAAGAATCTCACCATCACCACAGAGCAGATGGTAGATTTAACCAAGTGCCTTTGTGTTGGCAGCACAACTCCTTACTCTTACTAAGACACCAGAACACCCTAGACAGTGAGGGCTAAACTTCAAAGGAACAGTTTTTAAAATTGAATTTCCTCACTCCTTCTTTTTCTTTATAGTATATGTGAACATTCCCCCTAAACTCTCATACTCTGTTATCTGCATTTTTCTCCAGCTGCAAGAGAAACTGATGCCAGTGTTAACTTGCTTTCTAGAGACTCAGGGGAAAAATTTAATCAGACGCTTGCTGTTTTTCTTTTTTTAGTATAGGTTTTATTCATAACCTACACAATTTCTTCTTTAAAACCTCAGGAATGTTCTCAACTCTTTTATGGAATCTGCACTGGCATCCAACTTTTAGGATATTTTAAAAATCTAACAAAGACATTTTGTATGATTTCCCTTTGATAAGCAGAAATATATCTGCCAGGCCCCTAATTATTAAAATGCTATCATAAATCAGATGAACTAAAAAAAAAGAAGTTGGAATCTTTCCTGAATTGCCTTTTTTATGATATCTATCAAGCCCTGTCATCTTCCATAGCTTCTTACACAAAAGCTTTGGGTCTCCACACTGCCAGAATCTGATTTTATAAACCAGTCCTCTTACAGAACCCTGGAGATTTTGAAAAATCTGGAATAAAATTTAGGTAAAAGTCCGCATATCTCACTACAAAATAATTCCAGTTGGCAGAGCGATTTAAGTCAAGCATGATAGCAAAAACAGAGACTCTAATGAAGGAAAATATCAGGAGAGTCTATCCTGATTGGAAAAAAAAATACCACAAAGTTTTTTTTAAAAAAAAGATAATAAACTTGGAAAAAGAATGAAACAAAAACCAAACTTTTTGCAGTAAATATGACAGAGTAAAAAAAAAAAAAAAAGGAAGGAAGAGAGAGAGAGACATCGTGTGTGAATTGCTGAGGAAAAAGAAGACTAAGCATAAGGATAAAGCTATAAAGGACAAAAGGAGACTAGCACAAAATAAGTTGCCTCTTTATTAAAAATCAATAACTAAGTAATAGAAACATATTAAGATAGGTGAAGGGAAAGGCAATATACGCTAAAGGGATAAAAGAGGAAAGAGTAAATGAAGCAAAGAAGTTGCCAAACAGCACACACCTAACTCAAGGCTTATCTGTTTGGCGCAGCAAAAGGAGGAGAATGGGTAATAGCCAGCCTGGCAGAGCGGTAAGGGAGCTGGTACGCTAAATACTGATATGGAACTGCAAAGGGGCTGTTTCTAATGCAGCAAACATAATCCCAGGAATTTAACTTAAGTAAATCATTAGACAAATTCACACACACACACAAAACATGACTAGGAGGGGAGCTCTGGTGGCGTAGTCTGTAGGGAGTTAGCTGCACCACTAACTCGAAGGCAGTGCCTCTCCGGCAGTTCAAGTCTACCAAAGTCCCCCCAGGGTAATCTCGTTCCACATGATTCATAGCCTCTAAAACCTGCTGGAGGATTGACCATGAGTCAGTTCTGATTTTAAGGCACTAACACAGAGATATGTACAACAGATATTCATTAAAGCACCAGCTAAAATGTAAAAAATTAGAAAGAAAAACTTACATTTCAGGTCAGCAAGAGAACACTTAAAATTAGAATACCTCTCCTCCAGTAGAATGCTATGGAGCCATTAATGTAGATTTATAGAGATAATAACTTGCAAATAGGTCAACTAAGTCTTCTGTTCAGCAAATATAAAGTAATAGGAACCCTATTTATATGCATCCAAAAAACCTGTGCTGATAATTTCTCCCTGACTCATCCTCTTTATAATGCTTTGCATTTTTTAATCTTGTACAGAGAACATACTATTATTCAAAAAAGAAAACTTAGGATAAATGTTTATGGCTTAAAGAAATGCAGACCTATCAAAATAAGACAACTTAAATATAACAAAATTTACCATCTATTGGGTTTATAACAATCTGTGCTGTCATAAATAAAATATTCTGTCACAGAAATGACATGTAATTACAGCATTAACACAGAGCATGGGCTCTTTGCTCCTTATTTTAGAAGGCTGTTCTCTATAAAACTATACACTGACCACATGTGGGCCAAAAAACTGGGGAGACTCCGCATTCTAGAGCACATGCTTTGTGATTTTTTCTTTTGTCCACATGTGCCATCTCAGACAGGGGCCACCTAAACAGATAGCTCACACAGAAAATGTAAACAAACTGCCAAGTTAACTATAATTTGTTTCCCTTGATTCAAAGAAAGATTCATCATAATATCACCATCATGTAGTCTCATAGTAGTTATTAGAGACTGACAAATTTCCTCATTCCACCAACAAAAGAGAGACTAAGAGGGTTTGCAAGGTCATCTTTTTTCAAAACCTCCACCCTGTCAATTTGGATCTAACTGGCATTTCCAATCGGCTTGTAGCATTATGGTTTACACATTTGATCTGTAAATGTTTGAGCCACAATTTCTGCATTGTCTGAGTCACTTTTCTCTGTGTTATGTGTAGAAGACACACTCCCTCCCTAAGGGAGTCTTTATTTTTGTGGGGGAGATACACGGTAAAGCTGGTTGTGCAACAAATTGTCAATATAATTGTGCCAAGTGCTACAACTAGGATTGGCCATCTACTTCTTAAATAACAGTCCTCTACAAATCCTATGAACAGCAGAGGAACATGGAAAGTTATAGTAAAAGTGGTAGAGCCCAGAGGGGAAGTCAGTCGAAATGAAAGAACATGATGGCAAGTGCTCCAAAGGAGAAGCAGAAACTGGCTAAGGAGATGCCTAGACAAGAATGGGATCTCCTTTGGAAGAGAGAACTTTGGTAGCCTACTGGGAAAGGAGTAGCACTGCCAGTCCAAAGGCACGCAGTTCAAATCCACAAGTTGCTTCAAAGGAAAAAAATAAAAAGAGCCATCTCCTCCTGCGTTATTTACAGCCTCTTAAAAAAAGAGAGAGAATAACCTACTGGAAGGTCAGCTTTGAGCCAGTTCCCACTAGACAGTAATGAGTTGTTTTGTTGCTGTTGGAAAGGAAGCAGTGAAGAAGTACAGGAGCAATTGTGAATGGTACACAGGAATCAGTGAGGCAAAGGGCACTCAGAGGGCAGTTCCACACCAAGGGAGGCGTCCTGAACTCTGTGACACCTATTGTGACTAGAAGATACAATTGTTTCCGTCTTGGTCTTGATTATAATCTACAAACCATAATCAAGTTGCTGGAAGACAATTAGCAAAACAACTGAAATCCAGAAGCATGCTAAGTTTCCACCGATGATTAAAAGCCACAACGCTAACTAGAGCAGTGTTCCATGCCCTTTCAAAATTTATTTTCTTTGAAGTCAATACTTACAAATGTTTTCTTCATTCAGTACAAATTTACTTATAGAACTTCTAACGTCACGGAGAGGATTTATGGTTACTTCATGATCACCAGGTGAAAGAGCTGGGATTTTAATACTGGTTTTCACCGATGGATAACAAGAATTGAACCTGCAAATCAAGAAATTGCACTTTAATTTAGCAGATAAAATGAGCGGTTCAAACTTTCATAAAAAACTGAGTATCACTAAAGTCTCATTGCAATGGACTTGACTTTGACTCATGGGAGATATGTATGTCTCAAAAACTGACTGCAACTCAAGAGTGAGTGTCCACTGAGTTTCTAGGCTGAAAATCTTAACGAGGGGAGACTATGTCTCTCCCTGGGAGCCACTGGTGGGTTGTCAGAGCCGCAAGGCCTTTTGGTTGGCTGGACACCGCCAGAGTCCATGTATGTATCATGTGTCGCCCAGCCAATTCTGATTCAGAACAACACTGTATGACGGGAGAACTGCCCCATGAAATTTCCATTTTTATGCAAACAGACTGATGAGTTTTTCTCTTGTAGAAACATTGACAGGTTCAAACCACTGACCCTTCTGTGAGCAAAGCACTTAAATGTAATACTACCAGGACTCTTTACAAAAATAATTTATTATGGTCAAATATTATCTGTCCTTGTGAGACAAATTAAACTTTCACTTCCTAAGCAGAGCATGACGGTCATATCTAAATGTGTTTATTAGCATGGGTTCCACTGGCAGCCTTTCTCAATAAGCATGCACTTCATCAACTTTGTCACAAAATTTAGTAGAAACTCCTCTCAAGGGATCACCTGTATCAAGTAATTTCCTCACTGTCCAAACTCAAAGCCCCCGGCTGTGGAGTAGACTATAGGGACCTTACAGGGCGGAGCAGCACTGCTCCATAAGGTTTCCAATGCTGTAAATCTTTGCGGCAGATTGCTCCAACTTTCTTCCATTAGAGCAGTTGGGGGATTCAAACCATCAACTTTTTGGGTTGTCGTCAAAGGCTTTAACCACAGTGACACTAAAGCTCCTTCTATTACACTGGCTTTAAATTAATAATTGAATTATAAACAAAGTCAAAACAGAAACGTCTGAATAACCTCATACATAAGATTTAAGAATGATAATTATAAAAGACCGTTGTCAGGCCACTGAGTGGATTTAAACTCCCAGGAACTCTAGCCAGTAGTGGAACTGCCCCGCAGTATTTTCCAAACTGTGAGTGACCCCCTTCCAGGAGCAGACCCTGGGCTGTCCTCTGAGCAACTGCTGGGTGGTTTTAAACCACAAGCTTCTGTGTAGTTGCCAACCACTTACAATCCAGTGTCTGCTACAATATATAAACTTCTAATTCCTTTCTACTCAAAGTGTGGCCCAAGGATCAGCAAGGCCCATTTTCTCTAGGAGCTAATTAGAAAGACAGAATTTTAGGCACACTATGACTGGAACAGCACATCAACAGAGAACTGCCTGAGTTGAAGGTTGGATTTAGAAGAGGTCGTGGTGGCACGAGGGATATTATAGCTAATGTCAGATGGATCTTGGCTGAGAGCAGAGAATACCAGAAAACTGTCTATCTGTGTTTCCTTGACTATGCAAAGGCATTTGACTGAGTGGATCACAGCAAACTGTGGCTGACTCTGAGAAGAATGAGAATCCCAGAACACCTGATTGTGCTTAGGCGAAACCTATACTTGGACCAAGAGGCAGTCTCAGAACAAAGCAAGGAAATACTGCATGGTTCAAAATTGGGAAGAGTGTGCATCAAGGATGTGTCCTATCTCCATACCTTTTCAATCTATATGCAGAAAAGATTACCTGGGAGGCTGGACTGTATGAGGAGAAGGTGTGACATCAGGATTGGAGGTAGTCTAATCAACAATCTGCGATATGCAGATGACACAACCCTGCATGCTGAAACTGAGGAGGACCTGAAAGCGCTTGCTGCAGAAGGTCAAGGATTGTAGCCTTCAATACAGATTGAAGCTTAATGTCAAGAAAACAAAGATTCTCACTGGGCCAACTGGCAGCATCATGATAGATGGTGAAGAGAATGAGACTGCTAACAGCTTTAGTTTGCTTGGCTCTACAATCAATACTCTTGTTACCAGAAGCCAGGAAATTAAAAGATGAATTGCATTGGGAAAGTCTGTTGTCAGAGACCTCTCCAAGGTACTGAGGAGCAATGATGTAAGTCTAGAGACCAAGGTGAGCCTGATAGAGGCCATGGTCTTTGCCACTACTTGCTATGCATCAGAGAGCTGGACAATGAATAGGGATGATAGAAGGAGAATTGATGACTTTGAGCTGTGGTGCTGGAGAAGAGTACTGAATGTACCATGGACTGGCAAGAAAACAAACAAGTTCATGGTAGAGTGGGTGAAGCCAGGCTTCTCCTTGGAGGGAAGGATTCTGAAGCTTCATCTGACATATTTTGGGCATGTTTCCAGGAGAAAACAATCCTTGGGAGGGAGGAGGAATGGCACAGGAGAGGAAGACCCTCGATGAGACGGATTAATTCTATCACTGGAATAATGAGGATAGGTGTGTTGGAGACAGTGAGATTGACAAGGGATAGAGCAGGGTTTAGGGCTGTTGTTCATAGGGTCACTATGAGTCACAAGCAACTTGATGGCACATAACAACAATAACAACAGCAGAAGCAATGACAATAACCCTCTTATGAAGATGGCACAGGAGAAGGCAAGATTCAGAGCCATTGCTCACAGGGCCACTATGAGTTGTAGTCAACTCAACAGCACTTAACAATGATGACAACCCACTCTCAGTCCCACCAAGAATAACTAACCTCTAAATCAACAAATTGGCAGAGAACTGCCAGAAGTCCAGGCTGGGTTTAGAAGGGGTCATTGTACTAGGGATATTGTAGCTGATGTTAGATGGATCTTAGCTGAAAGCAGGGAATACCAGAGGAATGTATATCTGTGTTTCATTGACTATGCAAAGGCGTTTGACTGTGTGGATCATAACAAACTGTGGCTGACTTTGAGAAGAATGGAAATCCCAGAACACTTGATTGTGCTAATGAAAAGCCTATACTTGGACCAAGAGGTAGTTGTCAGAACAGAGCAAGGAAGCACTGCATGGTTCAAAATTGGGAAGGGCATACACCAGGGATGTGTCCTTCTCCATACCATTTCAACCTCTATGCAGAACAGATTATCCAGGAGGTTGGGCTCTATGAGGAGGAATGTGGGGTCAAGATTGGTGGAAGATCTATCAACAATCTGCCTATGCAGATAACAAAACCCTGCTTGCTGAAACTGAGGAGGATCTGAAGCGCTTGCTGCAGAGGGTCAAGGACTGCAGCCTCCAATATGGATTGAGGCTCAATGTCAAGAAGACAAAGATTCTCACCACTGGGTCAATTGGCAGCATCAGGATGGATGGTGAAGAGATCGAGATCGTTCACAGCTTTAGTCTACTTGGCTCCACAGTCAACACTCTCGGCACCAGTAGTCAGGAAATTAAAAGACGTATTGCCATGGGAAAGCTTGCTGTTAGGGACCTCTCCAAAGTACTGAAAAGCAATGGTGTCTCGCTGGGGACTAAGGTGCATCTGATACAGGCCATGGTCTTTGCAATCACTTGTTATGCATCAGAGAGAAGAACAATGACCAAGAAGGATAGAAGGAGAATTGATGCCTTTGAGCTGTGGTGCTGGAGAAGAGTATTGAGAATACCATGGACTGCCAGGAAAATAAACAGATTCATCCTGGAAAGGGTCAAACAGGGCGGCTCCTTGGAGGCAAGGATTCTGAGGCTTCGTCTAACATACTTTGGACATGCTGCAAGGAGGGACCGGTCCTTGGAGAGGGACATCATGCTTGGGAGGGTGGAGGGACAGCGCAGGAGGGGAAGACCCTCTATGAGGTGGATTGATTCAGTGACTGGGGTAATCGGGATGGGTGTGTCGGAGACAGTGCGATTGGCACAGGGGCAAGCAGAGTTTAGGGCTGTTGTACATAGGGTCGCTATGAGTGGCAAATGACTCGACGGCACATAACAACAACAATTTGCATCTGAACAAAATGCCTGGGTGATGTGTGTGCACATTACAGTCTGAGAAGCACTTGTATGAAGAAGAAAGACACTTAGAGAACAAGGTCCCTTCCTTTTGCTGTGAAGTTGCTGTATGTGTGGATGAGTCAGAAGTGACTCACAGCTAACACCCCAGCAGGTTTTCAGAGGCTGTAAATCACACGGGAGGAGACTGCCCAACCGTGGGGCAGCTGGTGGTTTCAAACTGCTTGCGTTTGAGTTGGGAGTGCAATACCTTATCCAACAGGTCACAGAGCTGCACTTTGAAAATATGATGCCTACCAAATGTAGGCAGTCTTCACACTGGAGGACTCTTCCTGCTCTTTTAGTTAAAGAATTAAGTGATGATTATCTCAGCCCTTTGTTGTTGTTGTTGTTATTGTTGTTGTTAGGTGCAGTCGAGTACGCCTCCCAGCAACCCTATGAACAAAAGATCTGGACCCTGTCCTATGCTGGGCTGTCCTCATAATCTCTGACACATCTGAACCCATGTTGCAGTTACTGTGTGAATCCTCCTGGCTGAGGGTAACTCCTCTTTTGCCATCCCTTCACCTTCCCAAGCTTACCCAAGGCTCACGGGTGCTGAGGGGAGATGGGAACAGTAGCCTGACTCCCTCAAAGCTGCCCTCAGCACTTGCACTCCTCTGTTTAGCTCACAATTTACTCTGAACAAAGCTCTCCGGCCAGCTCTGCTTTCAAAGCACTTCCAGTTCCCACGCAGCAGCTCCATTATGGCTTAGGCACAAGCTACCTCGTACCTTGGTTGCTCTACTGCCCTTTGTGTCTCTACAAAGCAAGTCTGACACTCTTACTATTATACTCCATGTTCACGTCTAGCTTTCTATGGACGTTTTAACTCTCACAAAGGGACCTTCTGTACCTGAGATCCCGTGTCACCTACCTAGTATCTTACACAAACCCCCACATTACCCACTATGGACAGCATGCTGGGGCCACATGAAGCCCCTGACCTCTCCCAGCATGTCACACTGTTTCACACACACTCATGCCACTGTACCCTGTGTCCTTTCTGACTGAATTTCCCACCTGCCCTTCTCCAGCTGAGAAAGCCCCGTGTTCCTTTTCCACAGCCCCCTTCCTCTGACAGCCTCACACTCCCTCAGCCCTCCACAGGGTGTCTCACGCTGCTCTCCACCAACAGCACTGTAGATCTGTCAACTGTCAACTCCTTGGGAGGTAAAACCAACTTCCTCTCTTTGTTAGTCACGAGCGCGGGGTGCCAAGTGTTCTGCTTCTTTCTTCTGGACCCACGGCAGGACCGTACTTCCATGCAGCTCTGGGCCAGGCACAGCAGTGAGACATCAGTGAGAAAGCCATGCTTGCCAGTGCAGGCTGTTCTCCCTCTCCTGCCCTGCCCTGCCCCTCCTGACGCCCCAGAGGCCGAGGACCCCTGCCTGGGCTCTAGGGGAGAGTAGGGCATGGATCCCAGCCCACTGGACAGAACGCAGGTGAAAATTAAGCTGCTCAGGGTCATTTGTTTCTGCACTGCAATTGAGTTCATCCTGACTGCTCAATCACCCCAATGCCTGAGATAACGGTCAGTAAGTGTACATCAAATGGATGGCCTAAAAAAGGGGGGGGGGGGAAATCCAACCCAAAACCAAACACAACACCCTGGCTGTACTTGGAGATGGGCAATCTCTTCTCAATTGACTTATAGCTTCAGAAACACAATGGAGGGTCAAGTATGAATCTCAATGGCATTGCGTGAGGGTTTAAATAAATGGAACTTTGATGGCCTTGTGCGTGGGGAAGTGTGCTGCTACCAAAAGCAACACCTCTCAATTGGAATCCAACAGCGGCTCTGTGGGAGGAAGACAGGGACTCTTCTTGTCTATGATTTACAGCCTCAGCAACCCAGTGGAAGGTCGCTCTGAACCAGTTACAACTTAATGGCAATGAGTGTGAGGCTTTTATAAATATGTATGCCACCTGGCATTAGGACCATCCATCCATCTCTGAGGACGTGGTGTTGTGCTATCATCTAGAACTTTGTGCCCGACTGATATTGGGGATCATCCTGTTGTGCAGAAAACCCAAAGCAATCAGCCCTAAGCTTAGGAACACCAGCCCATTCCAAGATTATGTAAGAGTGGGAGGCCGTACAACAGCCTGCCAACCAGCCTCCTATTCTCCATGTCCTCCCACTTATAACATAAGCCTTCATCTATCTTTACAGACATGCAGGTAGGAGAAGGTGATTCCCTGCCCTCCTGAAAGTGGGGCTAGCCACTCGGTAAGTTCTAGCTCCATGAGATGTAAGCAGAGGTATTCCGGGAAAATTTTTAGAGAAAATGGTCCTATGCAGTTGTGCTTTCTGGAATGTAGACTGGAAGGCTGTACCTCTCGGACACTCACTTTGGACCATGAGATGACATGCTAAAAGATGACGGAGTAACATAACCAAGAGGAAATGAGTTTCTGGTGAACAGAGAGAGATACTGGTTGGCACTGGGCTGGCCTATGCTTGAGTTCTCATATGAGGGTGAGCACCTAGTCCTAAGTCATTAATACCGATGTTTCTCTTATACAAAGACAAGCTTAATCCTAACGGATACAGGCAGATGTGCTTTGGGTCAGGGTAAACCTTCTCAGAGGAAATCAGAACCCACACTCAGTGAGGAGTGGGTCCCCGACTCATTACTTATGTAGTAAAAGAGTCCACGTTCAGGCTGGGCCAACAGGGTTTAATTTTGTTTCCATCTTAGTTAATGTCAAGATTTAGAATTTAAGGAATAAGAGCATTAAAGTTTAAAATGTCCTAAAATCAATCTCCAGAACAAAGCATCACACTCCTGAAGTAAAGACACAGAACCAGCAGGCTGACGCCACGGACAAGCTGAAGAGCTTCCATACCTGTTCACAACACACACTTCATAGAGCGCACCATGACCAGCCGGGGCCTTCCAGGAACAGTCCCACATTCTCAAGTTGCTCGTTGTGCAAGTCAGATCATGGGGAGCCCCTGGAGAGAGAAACATCACACAACACAGCATGTGCTCAGTAACGGAAAACACTCAGGGAGGTAGGTCAGCGTCCACACAGATTTCACTAGTGTGTACAAAGGGCATCTTCCCACACAGGGCTCGGGTCCCTTGTACAGAGGAAGCCTGTGGTCACGGGAGGCACAGGGGCTTGGTTTTATATTTCTTTCTGTAGTTTTGGCTTAAAAAAGGTAGAAGACAAAGGGATGAAAGTAGGCCAACTATTAATCTATTTGGGGTTAGGTATCTTCTATCAGAAAGGTTACTTCCAGGCTGTGATAAAAATAGAAGCAAAAGAATACGCGAACAATGTGCAGAACCAAGGTGGGGCAGAGAGCTCCTGAGGGGATTTTACGGCCTCCATGAGATTCAGTTCAGTGGAAACTGGTGCTGGTCACCACCAGTAATCACATTTGTGTGTGCAAGTACACACACAGAGTAAAACCTGTGTTTCATCCAAGTCAATAAACACAGCTTTTAAACACTGCTGGTCTTTGCTATGTCAGTGCATGCTTTCTACAAGGCTGCTACTCTCATACAAGTCTCACATGCAAGTGCTAGGCTTGCATAGAGCACATTAAATGTAAATACTAATATGCTCACCCAAATGTTTTAAAGCATAAATCTTTATATTAATTTATACATATATGTGAGAGTGTGTGTCTATATAATCCAGTGTATGTGTGAGCAAGAGAGAGTGAGAGAATATCTAAAAACTGAAAAGGAACAAATAATTCAGAAGATTATAATCCTAATGGCACCAAATCATAGTTAAAAGATGGAAAAGAAGAGGGTATGACTGCGAGACTCAAAATTAAATGCTGTCAGCTGGAAGGGACTAACAGCTGATCCTCCAATGAGTTCTCAAGAAGCTATAAACTGGGGGTGGGGGGTGATTGTATGCCAATGAAGTTTTTGTTTTGCTTTTAAAGAAAAGCGAACTGGGGTTGGGGGGGCTGGGAGAAAAGTGCAACAATGAATGAATGGAAATCCACAATCTCTCTAAATATTCATTGAAATTAGTAAAAAAAATTTCCCTCTAAAAAAAAAAAAAGAAGTTATAAACGGCACTGACGGAGACTGTCCATCTCTCTCCCTCAGAGTCGCTGGTGGGTTTGAATCCCCAGTGACGCACTTGGTGCGACTCCCTTTGGACTATGTCATCAGAGGTCCTTTGAGGGAGAGGAGGAGGGAGGGAAAAAAGGGAGAAAACAGGAAAAGATGAAAGGAGAAAACAAATGTACTGTAAAAAGGACAATCTATCTCAGACTGAGTCCATCTCTCTATGCATCTATTTATAAAATGTAACTTTTATTCATGGCTGGCATGATAGTTACTTGTAGTAATAAATTATAGCAATAAATTGTAAATTATTATATCAGAAAAATTAACATTATATTAAAAGCTATTGCATTAGAAATCAATTGTAACCGTAATGATAATTTTCTTTGATTACTGGCTTTAGGGGGAAGAGATCTGTTTTATTATGGAAATAATATAAAAACTAAGCCAAAGAACTAAAAGGCTAGATCAACCTTTATGGAAACAATTCAGTTGTTATCTATATAAACATTCTTAGCATATCTAAATAACACATGGCATATTCTTTTAAAAAGTTAGATAGACTTCATTTATATTACATTCTGAGGAAGGCAGATTTCCTGAGACAGAAAACAGATTCGTGTAGCTGGGATGGCAGAGGGGCCTGGAAGAATGTTCTGGGAGTGATGAGACTTTTGAAACGGGTAGCAGTGGTGACATCACTGTATAAAACCAAATCAACAAGCCAAACCCACAGCTGTTGAGTCCACCCGACTTACAGTGAGCCCACAGGACAGAAGAGAACCACCCACGGAGTTCTTAAGGCCATAAATCTTTATGGATTTACTGACTGCTATAACTTTGTGCTGCAGAATGGGACTGGGTTTGAACTGCAGTCTAGTGCTCACCAATCGTTGAGTATCTAACTGTATACATATGTAAAAACTCACTAAGTTACATTTTATCCTAAAAAGGGTGAATTTGATGTACGTATATTCTATCTTACAGTCTATCTTTAGGTACATCTTCACCAAAGGGAAAAAAGAGAGATAAATAGATTTTAACCACCAAAAACCTGAAGAGTTCAAAGAAGGAATCAAGATGGTGCCAATATCGACATGGTAATAAACCTCCGGCCACTGCCCGCTCTCAGGACTAGGATGTCTTACCCTTCTTCTGGCTGTTTACTTGGTTCACTACATACAGAAGGACAAAGGATGACAGGAGCCACTGGAAACCTGAGCTAGTCTTCATCCTTCTCCTGTCCGCCATCCAGGACGGTCGTCCCACACAGAAGGAAGCGTCCATCATGTGCAGTGCAATCAGCTGTAGTAAGACAGGAATTGAAAAAAGGACATTATAAAATTGGTTCAAAGGCACACCAAAAAAAAAAAAAACCCCAAAAACCAAACAAAACAAAATAAACAACAAGCCACAGCACCATTAACTAAGTAGAGTCTAACTCTTGGTGACCTTGGGTATCACAAGAGCCATAAGGCTCCAGTTTTCCTTCTTGGCTGTAAACTGTGTAGAAGCACATGATCCATGGCACTGCAGGGCAGTTTCAAATCCACCACTAGGTTCGTAGTCAAGAACAACAGTGTCTGCAACATACGACTGAAACATGATGTACATGAATAAATGTGGACACGCACACTGATGGTGACTTGGCTGTATTACAACATGAATAATGTTACACGACCGCTGCTTCCAGAACCCACTGTTGGGTTCATTATTGTCAATTACAAACTGACAAGCCTTGAGTTCAAGATTACAGCTGAATGCATGGTCACGAACTCTTTTGCAGCGGTACTTAAATATGGCAAAGCAGTGCATGCCACTGGAGTCGTGACTATTTTACCTGGGAGACTTTTTAGCTGATACACATATTCATTTTGAGTGACCTTCTACTAGTAACAAGTAAAACTGGTTTTCTTTTCTACTTACATTGTGATATAAAATTCCATTTTTACATTTAAGTAAGTCACCAAAAGATAAAATGGAAGCAAATAATTGTATGGAGTTTACATATGTCGTTGTTGTTAGGTGTCTTCAAGTCAAGTATGAATCACAGCCACCCTACAAACAATAGATCTGAACCCTGACCTACCCTGTGCCATCCTCATCATTTCTGACATACTCGAGCCCACAACTCTACGAGAGAAATAATGATGACAATAACACACAAATAGCTTTAGTTTAACAAACTCTTCTTCAACAACTCTTAGGACAAAGACCACTGGTAAACAAGAGATGTCAACACTTTCACTGAAAACTGAGACAAGGGGGGAGGTTGTCAAGGAGTTCATTTCCTTGGGTCCACAATCAACTCTCATAAAAGCTGCAGTCAAGAAATCCGCTCATGTACTGTGCATGTGAAAAATGGACGAGGCTGTATGAATCATAATATGAATGAAGTACATAGTGTGAAACACAATGTATATGAACTTTGTGAGCAAACCAATAGAAAATAATTTTTTTAATTATCATTAAATTTTATTAGTTTTAATGAACATTTACAGAGATTTTGGGTTTTCATTCATTCATTGTTGCACTGTTTTCTCTACCCTCCTCCCCCGTTGGACAAGGGAGCCCCGGTGGCAAGAGGCTGCACTGCAATCCTGAAGGTGTTCGAGGCCCCAAGCTGCTCCACAGGAGAAGGGTGGGCAATCTCCTCCCGGGCAATTACCTGCCTCTGAAAACCCCCTGGGAGTGTCAGCTATGAGTTGGTTCAGACTCTACACTACACAACAACAACAGAATGATAAGAAATAAAAAATGGACAAGGAATAAGGAAAACTGAAGAATTAATGACTCTGAATTGCGGGGCTGACAAAGCAGACTGGCAGTACCACAGGCGGCCAGAGGAACAATCTGTGTTGGAAAAGGCACAGCCAGAATGCTTTTACAGAAGCGAAAATGGTTAGAGTCTTCATCTCATGTGCCTTGGACGTGATATCAGGAGGGACCAATCACTGGAGAACGGCATTATGTTCAGTAAAAGAGAGGCACATCCAAAAAGAAGAGACGCCCCCAACGAGACAGACCGGCATGGTGGTTACAGCAATGCATTCAAACACTGCAACGACTGTGAGGATGGGAAGACTGGGCAGTGCTTCATGCTGTCGTACATCAGGCTATTATAAGTACGTCAGACCTGACTCCACAGCACCTAACAAGAAGGCAATACAGATTTCAACACAAGTGCATTGAAAACTGAAAGCAAATCAAAGAGTAGTAAATGGAGCTGATGAATGCAGGAGGGGGTGAAGCAGAGAAAGGAACTGTTTAGCTTAATACTTCTCAGAGAGATGTGCCAGCAAATTTTGGAAGTACTCTCCCCACACCCCCCAGTGCCAGACCTTCGTCTCCTGGTCCAGGCACTGGAGTCACCAAACAAGACAAAGCACAAAGGAGCCTGTGGATTCCAGTTCAACAGGCAAATAAATGCATAAATAAATAAATCAGAAATGGAAATCCATCTATGCACTCTGAAATTTACTTTAAATCTGTATACTCGAGAATGTCTGTCTGAGAGCAAGCTTTGAACCTGACTGGCTTTGAGTGGGAGGTGACACCCAGCACAAGAGTAAGGAGAACCTTCTCCACAGCAGCAAGAGTCAACACAAAGACCCTAAGACAAGGACAGACAGAAAGCCGGCAGTGTGGTTTAGGACATCACTGAGGGGAGGGTGGAGGGAGGAGAGAAGCCGAGGGGATCTTGGCCAGGCCACACCAGGCCTTGGCGCCTCCTAAGGACCTGGAAGGTCATATGTAGTTGAGAGAAGTAACTGGAGATAAATGCTCTTCAGAGAGAAATGACCCAACCTGCACTTTGAGAAGATTTCTCTAGACTCGAGAGAAGCAGCATGATGGATGGAAAGCATAGTGCAAGTTAGATCCTGGGTGACTGGGAAGGGGTTCTAAGAGCAGAGGTGAGGCTGAGGACCGTCTGGAGACGGGTCTCACTAATACACTACAGGGAGGGCTGTGGAAGTGAACGGTACAGAATGGGCCTGAATCTCAGCTTCACCACTTGGAGTGTGATCCCAGATATGCTCTATGGGAGTTACTGAGTTACTTTAACGTCTCTCTGCCTCAGTTTTCTCTTCTGTCAAGTGGTAATAACTATCTCCCTCAAAGTTCTGCTACTGAGACTGCAATGAGTACATATATGTAAAGCATGTGTAAAGGATTAAATATGCTGTAAGTATAATAATCTTGGCGCTCTGACAGCCTAGTCTGTAGAGAGCCATATAGCTAACCTAAAGACTGTGCCCGTCTCTGGCCATTTCAAATCCACCAGCCGCTCCAAGGGAGAAAGATGGGCCACTGCCTCACATGTGATTTACAGCCTAAGAAATCTGCTGGAGGGTCAGCTAAGGTCAGTTCAGACTCAGCAGTTGAGGGTTGTTTTTTTTTTACGTATAATTGTGTAGCAGAGTTCTGATGGCCTAGTGGACAGGGAGTTGTGCTGCCAGGCCAAAGGTGGGTGGGCAGAGTCTACCAGCTGCTCCATGGGAGAAAGATGGGCAAGCTCCTACTGTGGGATTTACAGCCTCTGAAAACTTGCCGGAGATTAAGAGGAATCAAGGATGGCTACTACCTCAGGTGATTAAACAATGACGGATGAATGGTGATGACATTTAAATCCCTTTTGGGTGAAAGAAGAAGGAGGCAGGGAGATGTAGAGCTCAAACTAAAACATTTGATGATGTGATTACCAGAGGTCAACCTTGGTTGGTATTCTCCCCATTCCTCACCCTAAAGAGAAGTGTTTCCCTTGTCCAGCTTTCTATTATTACTCATTCTTAAGCTGTCTCACTTATTCGGGATATATTATCAAGAGGGACCAAGCCCTAGAGAAGGGTCTCATGCTTGATACTGTAGTTGTGTACTATTTTGTAGGAACTGACTCAGAGCTGATTTCCCAGAACCTGTAAACTGCACAGGAGGAAATGACCCAACTTTCTCCCTTGGAGCAGCTGGTGGGTTCAAACTGTGTTCCTCTGGGTTGGCAGCACAACGCCTTAGCACTTCACTAGAGCTCCTAAATAAAGTTGAGGGTTAGGAAACGAGAGATCTACAATGAGATGGACTAACACACTGGCAGCGATACCAGCTCAAAACGGCAATAACTGTGAGCATGGCAACATTGCCACCTGTTGGGAGTTAGAACTGATTCAATGGCATCTAACAACATCATGTGTGAGCAAAAAATTAAGGCTCTCAAAGCAACTGATGAAAACCTAAAACATTATAAATTATAATTATAAATTATAATTATATAATTATAAAAGATAAATTCAGGATAAACTGGATTATCAAAAAGAAATGAAAATTATTCCCAGAGGAAGCAGGGCTACTTTAGGAAACAGGGAGAAAAAAGGCGGAGGTGGGGTGGGGTGTGGAATCAATCCCATCAAAGCCAAACAGCAAGGGAGTTCTGGTGGCTCAGTGACAGAGACTTGCACTTCCAACCCAAACGCACGTAATTCAAATCCACCAGCTGTTTCTCCAGAGAAAGATGGGAAATTTTCTCCCGCACAGTTTACTGCCCCTGACAACCCACTGGAGGGTCAGCTACGAGTCAGATATAGCACAGTTACAGAATAAAATCAAGATACAAGTAAGGAATAACCAGAAGTACAAATAGCTCTGAAAAAAGAAATATGTCCCCTGGTAGTTAAAGATTGTTAAGGAATTAAGCAAAAACACTCGGGCAGCATGTCAGGAAAAAAGACAAAAATAGAAAAATGTGAGAAAAGGCACGAAAGACAGAAATTTGATAAAGGAAAACAATATGCCAACATCTAAGTAACAAGAGCTTAACATGAGAACTCCAAAAACCTCAGTGAACTCAAAGAGCAAGATCCCTTCTTGGGAAATGAGAGGACTATTAAAAACCCAGAGATTCTATATTTAAGTTTAAACACTTCTAACCAAAGCACACACAAGGCACTTCAAAAGTGTTCAGTTCTTTTCTGGATGGATGAATAACTTCCCAGTCAATTCCAGTGACACTGAGTCTACTCATTAGATGAAAATGTATTCGTGGAATGTCTAAAATGTCACTTGTTGGAGTTATAGAATCACATAGCTTGTCTATGCATACGGACACACCTCGTTTTATGGGGCTTCAGTTCACACACTTGCAGATGGAGTGGGGGATGGCTTGTTTCATTTTTAAAATAAATTGCAGGTTTGTGATAAGCCTGCGCTGAGCAAGTCTACTGGCAACAGTTTACCAATAGCACGTGTTCATGTCTCTCTGTGTCTTATTTTGGTAATTCTGGAAATATTTCAAACCT